GCAGCTAATCCGGCATATCTCAAAACTAATTGATAGTTAAAAATCAAATTTGATTGTCCTTCAAATCAGCAAATGACCTAGCCTTGTATAAAGATCTTCTTGTTCTTCAAATGTTATTTTCATCAATATCTGAAGCAAACATTAACATCAACGGTTTTTTTTTTTTTTAAGTTCAAGTATTAGATTTGATTCATAATTCATGATATATATATATATATATATATATAATAATACGCAAATTATCTTATCTGAAATCATTTCAACTGACACACTTTGTGGCCCAACAAATGATTAATGATAAATATATGTAAAATCTACCATCAACATCTACAAATTGAAAATAAAATAAAATCAAGTTTCATCTCAACTAAAATATGATAACAAGCGTATGCAAATTTGGGTTGATGAATATCGATAGTTAAGGATCTTAAAATACTTTGTCAAAGCATAACAATGTTATTAAAAATACCTATGCAGTACTTATGCAAATACAGAAATAGTTCAATGCCATTTACTTCTTCTAGTAATTGTCCTATCTCTTGTGTGGTTTAAGCAACTCCAGTGCATTTTCTTAGACTTGGTTTATCCTTGTAGAGCAATACATTATTGGGGCCTAAGACCAATCAATCAAAATTATAATAAAAACATGATAGCATAACAAAATTAAAATATGGCATAACTGATTGTTAGGCTTCTCAAGTTAGCAACAAAGGCATAATCTGTAAATAAAAGCATATAATGCATTCACTTTTAGCCTATAAGCTAATTCAAACTGTAATTCAAATATCCAATCAATTAGACTAGTATCTAAAACTTGTGTAATTCAAATATCCAATTAATTAGATCAATATCTAAAAATAGAGAAAGGGGAAGGCCATAAACTTGTGTAATTCAAATATCCAATCAATTATTCATAGAACCTCTAACAACTATATAAGATTAACTTTAAGACTATTTAGTTATAGTTTAGTTAGTTATAGTTAGAAGTTATATTATCCGATAAAGTTAGTTGTTAACAGACACTGCTAAGGTTGTTAACAATTCTCCTTAGGTTATTAATACTTACTGTTGAGGTTGTAAATGGATTTTCGCATTAAAATGTTGCTATAATCCTATTGGGTTTGGTTAAAATTTTTAATGATATCAAAAAGCTTCCCATTTTAGTGTTAAAGTTGTTGTATTATACTATTTGGTTATAATTTACTCTTACGCGGAGGTTATATAATTCTATAAAGTAAGTTGTTAACGGATACTGCTTAGGTTGTTAATGCCTTCTCATTCGGTTGTTAATAGTTGCTACTGAGGTTGTAAATGGATCTTCGCATTAAAATATTATTATAATCCTATTGGATTTAGTTAAAATTCTTAATGATATCAAAAAGCTTCCCATTTTAGTGTTAAAGTTGTTGTATTATACTATTTGGTTATAATTTACTCTTATGCAGAGGTTATATAATTCTATAAAGTAAGTTGTTAACGGATACTGCTTAGGTTGTTAATGCCCTCTCATTCGGTTGTTAATAATCGCTGTTGATATTGTAAATGGATATTCGCATTAAAATATTACTATAATCCTATTGGATCTAGTTAAAATTTTTAATGATATCAAAAAGCTTCCCATTTTAGTTTTAAAGTTGTTGTATTATATTATTTGGTTATAATTTACTCTTATGTAAAGGTTATATAATTTTATAAAGTAAGTTGTTAACGGATACTGCTAGGGTTGTTAACGCCCTCTCATTAGGTTGTTAATAGTCGCTGCTGAGGTTGTAAATCGTAATGACAGAGCAAATGTGAATATGGAATATGAGGGGCAGTAATGTCATTTTATAAAACGAAAATATTACTCTGAGGTCCCTTGGGATCTGTCAGTGATTTTGACATTTCGTGGGACCTCAGAGTAATAAATTGCCTTCTGTGGGACCTGTTAGTGATTTTCCCAAGGAAGAATTGCATATAGGGACAGCAATGGAATTTCATGCAAAACCATGGCTGTGAATACAAGGGATGATAACATGGGGCATTGCAGGCGCGCAAGAGAAGAGGACACTGCAATCTTCGTTGTCTGACTCTCTTTTCCATCGTGACTTTCTGACTAACATTCCAAACATGACAACCGAGTGAGGACACGTGTCATTTTCTAGGGAACAGCTTTCGAATCTCCGTACGAGTTCGCCGTCTTTTCCCTCTGTCGGTTTCCCGGCCCCATCCGGCCTATTTTTCTACCCGACCGTTGTGGTTCATCATGATCCTTTGGTGATTCTTTAGCCGTTGGATTCAGTACCTGTGGGATTGAAGCAACGGACAAGATGTGAGAGAGCATGAGAACTCATATGTGAGGGAGGTAGTGTAATTTTGTTAAATGGGTGAGGTGGCAAAAGGAGGAGGAGGTAGGGGCTGCTGACAAGCAACGATGAAGAGGAAAATCGGGCTATGATGATTAGCACGTTCTGTGTTCCGCGGCTTCTCTTCCGTGTTTAGGATAACAAATATACTGCGCCTCCTCTCTCATTAATGTAAAATATAATTAAAAAATTATTATTGTCATATTTATAACACTTATTTTATATGTTTATTAATTTTTTAAAAATTAATTCGATTAATATTCTGCCAATAATAATTAAGAAGAGATGGATGGAGGAAATTAAAGAAAATATTTTAAAAAGAAGACATCATATTAACTAATTTAACTAATATTCTTAATCTATTCAAATTAGTTAATTAGGCCTTATATCAAGGACTAGAGGAGTATTAGCTTCATACTAAATTTTAAAAAAAATAAAGATTAAATTTGATGCTAAATATAAAATTTTAATTCATTTAACTAACTTTTTTAATATTTATAAATTAGTTATCCAATTTTAATATTAAGGAGCAGAGATAATAATACTAAACAAGAAATCATGCAAGGAAAAAAACCATTTACCATTCTAGTAATTTACAATTGGTCAAGGGGTTATTTACAAATTAAATACCCAAACTTACAACTAAGATAACATGATTTACAAGAGAAATATAACCATTTTCAATTAGAGCAAATATAATAATGTCTTTTCATTCATCAATGTTAATTTCATTTCATTTTTTGGGATTGATATTTCTTAATTTCTTTTGGGGCTAATTGAAATTTTTAGGACAGCACATAGATTCTTTTCTGTACCATGGACTCCAACCTAGCGCGCGCATGTATAGGATTTTTTTTTTTTTTTAAAGCATATATGGCTAAATATATCTTCAATTAAAGAGCAAATACCTGCAAAAAATATGAGTTTTAGTTAGCTAACTTCATAAGAACCTGAAATGGAGTTAAATGTAGGTTAATTAGTTAAATTTATAAAAAAAATTACAACATTTTTAGAATTAGTAGATAGCAGAACTACAAAATGTTAATAGATTTTCTAAATCACGGTTAATTAAATCTATGGAAAAACCATAGGCAATTCTATCTTTTAAAATAAGGCCAACATGATCCCGTGTTTTTGGTGTTCCAGTAGTTTTAATTAAATGTGTTGGGGGGATCTGGGACAAAACAAAGTGGATTAGTCAATTAAGAGATCCCAATTATTGATTACGCCTTAATTAAAGTTCGTGAGCTGTCCTTCCCTGAATTTCAGAATTTGCAATACGTACGCGGCATATCCCCCCTTTGATTTTTAATTAAATGATTTAAATCTTATTCTCTCAAAATACCCCATCCCTGCTAGATCATCACTCCCTCCTAAAACTCATGCAAAAGGACTTGATACAAAATATAAGTTATTTATAAGTAATTAATATTTATTTATTAATTTTGTCCCTATAATTAATGTTTTTTTCCTTTATTACTCTTTGTATTTTTTTTTCCCTTTATAACCTCATTTAATACAGGTAAAGTTGAAAAAAATTTCAATTTAAAATACAATTAATGAATTAACTGCTATAATTTTGATATTGATAAACTGATTATAATGATTTATACTACCTCTGATTCTTAATATAAGACTTTGTTTGACTTTTGTTTTGGTCATAAATATAAGACCCCAATCCACTTTGTCTCTCATATTTATACATTTTTTTTCCCAAAGTAACCCTTCTAATAATGATAGTTCTAGTCAATACACTTGATTAGTAAAGATATTTTAGGAAAGACAACACTTATTTAGGACAAATAACTAACTCAACTTACTTTTTTTAATCTTTTCAAATTAGTCAATTGACTCTTATAATTAAGACTGGAGGTAGTATTGTGGATTAGAGGGAGTACTTAACTTTGTACCTATTTTTGAATAATAAAATAAATATTAAGTTAATAAATAAGAAAATACAATCTGCTTGTTGAATCATATAAGACGAGGGTTGCCAGCAAAACTAGAGCATTATAGCAACCTTCCATCATAATGCTCAGCCTCTCCCTAACCGTGTACCTGTTTAGGATTCATCATTAAGATTCTCCCTGCCGCTCCATAATTCTACGCGGCGCTTTATTAAAAGCCTACTAATAAAATAAATCCAAATTTCGCCTTTTTAATAATTACCAATCTCTTCTTTGAAGGCACAACACTTAAATGAGCTCTCATTGTAAAGACTGTAAAATTGACTAAATCAAAATTTAAACGTTACAAATTCGTTAAATTGTAATTATGCTTCTAATCACAATAGAGGATCCTCTCCCCCATTCACGAGGCGTAATTAGGGCCAAAACTGAAACTACGAGACGTTCAAATGAAATAAAATATAAATTACTCCTCCGATCCTTAATATAAGACCCATTTAACTAATTTGATTAGATTAAGGAAGTTAGGTAAGTTAGTTAATTATAAGAAAAGTGACATATTTTTCCTAAAATACCATAATCATCTTTTTTAATACCCTCTCTCCCTTTTCTACTTGATTATAGTTGAGGGAGTATCCATATGGGTAATTTAGAGAAAAATGATAAATATGAGAAATGGGTCTTATATTTAAAACCAAAACCAACTCAAGAATTAGGTCCTATATTAAAGACCGGAGGAGTATTTTAACACTACGGAGTTGAGTTTCACTTGGTGTCGTGCTCCATCTACAAACCTTGAACCGAGAAATTTGTTTCTGTATTGTTAAGAACAATCAGAAAAGAAACACACTCAAATCTGGAGAAAGCAAAAACATAGGCCAAAATGCTTATGGGATGAGGATTTTGCAGATCACAACTTCAGCCACTCCAAGCAAGGACATAAACCCCAACAAAATCTAGCAGGGTAATCGTCCTTCATGTACACCTCCCTGCTCTGCCCTATGATATAGAAGCTGAAAGATCTCCGCCCGTGAGCCATGGTGACCCTAGTCACTGGGACAACCGAGATGGTGTGCCTCTCACAGATGACCCTTGCAGTGACAGGTACAGCAGCTCTTTCTGCAATGACTTCGGAGGAGAACTTGTTGAGGAAGAAAGAATCAGCAAAGAAGGCTGGAGTGCATTGCTGTGCCTGAGTATTGCACAACTGAACCCCTTTGGATCTGTGGAAAACCTCCTCTGGAACTGATGCTGCCCCACTGTTTGCATTTACTTTTCGAGTTGATAGTGTTTTCCTGAAACATATAAATGTGCTCTCAATTTGAATTGTCACAAAAAAAGAAGCGCATCATATGAGGACCGTAATTGTAGAAACAGAAATTGCACATTACTGAACAGGGAAGCTTGTGAACTTTCCAAAGCTTGATCTTGAATTACCATGTTTCTCATCACATATTTCATTCATATATAAAAGGTTAGAGCTGTCAATACTCGTACAAAAAACCACGATGCAGGAACCAGTTCCAAATTATTTAAACTCAACCCGTCAAATTAAGAAGCTTATTTTACCGTTCATGTGGTTCATACTTCCAAAAATAAGCCTCTGAAAAAAATATCCCAGTACTTAATAGAGCAACTTTTCCAGATGACGAATTAGAATTCAGAGGAAATTATACATACTTCCTTTGACTTCATTTATCCTGAAGAAAATAATTCATGGTGTTGAGCCTTGTTCATCATGAAGCAGAGGTTCATGACTCGATGATGGTCTGGTTTGAAGATTTCAAAATTAGCCAAACATGATTGCCCATAAGCAAAGTGACTCACCATTTAACAACTGCCACACTGCGTGCCAGGAGAGAGCCACTTCCTTTGCAGGTCACACACTTGATTAGTCCACGAGATCCGCAAGTTGAGCAAGGAATCTTTCCCTTACCATTGCATTTAACACATCTGCATGAAAACTTAAAGTACGTGAATCACATATATAAACAGATGCCTTGATAGAAACTAGTGCATCCTCGAAATCTTAAGCTTGAATTAAAAATGAAAATTCTCAATCTTGTGCCTTGTTAAGTTCTTGCCACAGCATGCGTGAACAAACTACAGTTTTACTAGACTATCCATGCTATGAATAACAAGTTGGACTTCAAGCATCAATCATCAAAGCCAAAGAACGGTATCATGGCTTCAATTAATAACTAATCTACACTTGAGCAATTGAACCACTCACACTGTATCAGATCCATCTTTATGAGCAATCAAACCCCTTCCATGGCAAGCAAGGCAGTCGGTCATCTGATTTTCTTTATAATATCCAGGTTCTTGGTCTGCATTACATGCAGAGCAGACAATACTACCCCGTCCTTCACAAGCTGCAAGTATTTTCCACGATTTTGTAAAAACAGACAAAAAGAAAATGTTAGAAACTAAATACGCTTTCAATTGTGAAAACTGAAGAGCAAATCTAGAATCCTAACCAGTGCATTTCTCAATAACTTCAGAATGAGGAATCTTTTCCCGCACTTCTTTGTATGTCACAAACAGAACAGGAAACTGAGACCTTAAATCCAATTCCCATACACCAAGTTCAGGCCCACTATGCTTTCCATCTATGCTGCCACCAGTGTATAGCTCAGTCTCTTTTATGGTCTCTCTTTCCTCAGTAAAAGTATCTAAAGTGCCCACATAAACATTGCAGTCTTCCACAGAATGAATTTTCCATGTTCGAGCAGGACGGCTACCCCAACAATAGCGGTGACCAACATAATCAATAAGCAATCCTCGGATCTCTACTTCATCCAAGACTCCCCTAAAATTAGATAGTTTATTTTAACAAGATTGCGTGTCAACAATGAAATGTTATGCTAAAACAGACATAGATATTATGATGATTTACCAATATATATTTATATACAGCTTTGATAACAAAAACATTCTAGTAATCCAATGATCCCAACACATGATTAAACAGTGAAATCCACTAATGTCTTTCTCACATAAGTCAAACCCATGTGATATTTCATATAAACAATGGCCCCATTTATAAGTTGCCTCAACCTCTAAAATTAGAATATTTTTACACAATTTAGTAAACCTAAGCAGATTAGTTCCTCCACGCTGCATACATGACAAATTATCACTTGCTCGTGATTCTATGGGTAGTGCATAATATGAAAGTACGTACAGCCAAACCAAAATCATTGATTTCACAATTTCAAGCAGCCAAGATAATTCGGTTCTTTGGAGACCAGCATCTAACTGAATCAATCAAACCAAGTGTCAGTCTACCCCTTATTTCCTGATATCAATCTAGCCACCTTATCCAGATATCAATGAGTTTATTATGGAACTCATTTAACCCTTTTATGATTTTATCAAAATTCAAAAACACAAAACCCTATCTATACTTCTTTTAGCCTTGAGTTAAACCACTCAAAAACACAAAACCCGATCAAATCTTGGTCTACAGTATAGATTATGCAACGCGCAATAACAGCAATACTTCTTCCCTTTTTTTCTTAAATAAATGAAGTCTGCAGTGTTTGGCCATCTTTCTGCGTCACTATTGGAAACAATGATCACAAAGAATATTCCTTGACAATGCATTCCATTTACTGAGATGATGTTGATTGGATTTCCTATGGCATGTCGAACTTCAGAACGAATTGTAATTACCACTGAAAAATCAACATCCGAACTATACTGCTTCAAGAGTTAAACCATTAGTGCGTTTCATCAACAATTTGTAAATAAGCATTTTATTGATCCATGGTTTACATCATATTTTTATCATATGATTTTAATTTCAGCAGTTATAGAGAGAAATCAAGAATACAATCATGACTTCAATTCTTTTTTGGGAGCAAATGCACAAAATTATAAAGCTTGATATACAAACTAATCTTAACAGGAACACTCATAGAGGTGGGGATATGTTTACAGTTCCCACATCAGTCATACCTCTGGTATTCCGCCCTGCTTCCACCGTAATCTCCTGCATATCCTCCTTGGGGAACAATAGCTTGCTCTGCAACGTAGCGTTGTATTTAACATCCAGGCAATCCTTAAATAAACTTAAAGCTAGAAAACTTAAAAAGTTGTAGTCCATCTTTGCCTCATAATTACAGCAGATGTTGGGAAAGAAAAATAAACGTTCACATGTTTCTACAAGGATTGTTAATTTGAAACCGATAATTGCTCCTATCTTCACCCCATTTAAGGGGAAAAAAGCCGTGACCCAGGACATCCATGAAAATCAGAAGAATTGACACCAGACACCGGTATCTGACATGAATGTTATGAAACTTCAAATTAACAGGATCTTGTTGTGTCAATATGTGGTACTTTGGACCTTAAATTCATAAAACTAAACGCAATTCAAATGAATATTGGAAGTAACAAGACCACCCACCTGGAGGATAGGGCTCAGGCGAGCTAACCAAAGCGCCATGAATGGAGGGCGGATAGTAATTGGAAGAAGCAGCGGCAGCAGAGCGAATTTCATCGACACTCACCTCAGTGCCGGCCAATGATGAAGCAGTAGGAATCACAGAACCCGTTCTTCCCGCATACTGATACGCGCTCCACTTTCCGCTCTCTCTGTCGGACGATTGACTTCTTGTTTCTGTCAAATCCGATCACAACCAAAAGAACCCAAAATGAAGAACACGAGAAACATTGAAAATCATCAATTAAAATTGAAACTTGCCGGCGTTAATTTTATACCCGATAACAGAGGCTGCTCCATATTGATAATGATCAGCTCTGCGAGAAATTAGACACAGCGATTATTGGGTACAAAACATTTTTATCTAAGGTATTTGCCTTTGCCACTAAGGAAGTTGAATTGCCGATAAGTCAAATAGAGATATATAATCTGCCCTGCCTCCTGCAACCGAACGGTCTAAACCAAACCAAATATTAACATGTAAGGAGGAGTGGGGTCCGCGATATTAAAAACGCGGGTTCTTGTCCTTAGCTAAAACGAAGAAACCGAAAACCGCACAAGGCTGGAGAACCGCTGAAGAACTATAGGTTGCAAGAGGGACCTGTTGATCAGAACCTGAAAGTGTATGACCTCATAGTTGAGAGAGGAGAATGGAACCTGCAAGCATTGGAAGGAAAAATTCCAGGGGAAATAATTGACAGAATTAGACAGCTACAACCCCCCACAGAGGAGGATGGCAAAAATATTGTAAGATGGAAATGGACTAAAGATGGAGACCATACCACTGCCTCTGCATATAAGTGGCTACAGCAAAGCGATGGAAGTCAGTATTAGAAGTTGTGGCAGAAAATGTGGAAATTACAAGTACCTGAAAGAGTCAAGCTTTTCATGTGGCAGACAAAACACAAAAGACTTCCAACTCGATGGGATGGAGGACAAGGTTACTGTACTGTTTGTAATCTGGAGGGAGAATCTCATATACATGTGTTGCGAGATTGTCGAGTTGCTAAGAATCTGCGGAAAAGACTAGTGGCTGAGACAAGGAGAATTTTTTGCTTGTGGATCGGACGATTGATTGGATCAGAATCTGACTAGGACCGCGAAAAAGCAGGGAGAGATAAATTGGCAGGAGTTATTTGCGACTGGCTGCTGGCATCTCTGGAAATAGTGATGTAGATTGGAGAATGCCGTGGAATCCACCAGAAGTAGGGAAACAATATTTGGAAAACTTCGGGAAAAAAATGGACGCCAGAGCAACCAAGGGAGCAGGAAGAGATTATCTTTGTAGGATGGAAACCTCCCCATGGGGAATGGTGCAAATTAAACACTAACGGATCGAAAGAAGGAGGAGGAAGAGCTAATTAGAGGTAATTGTGGTGAACGGTTGTGTGGTTATGCTTAGAAACTGAATGTCAAGATGTGGAAAGCACTGCAGTATGGGGCATCATAGAAGGCCTAAGATTATGCTGGAACATTGGTTTACGTAAAATTGAAGTGGAATGTGACACAAAGCAGGTGGTGGATGATATTAACAGTGGAGGATTAATTCAGGGGAATCAATTACAGTCGAGATTGGCAGGTGCTGTTTACTCATATCTGCAGAGAGAGTAATAGGTGTGCTGATAAGCTTAGTTTCAATGAGTAGACAAATGAATATGTGGATTTATAACAAATTTGTGCAGATTTGAAGGAGAGCTTTAAACACCTCTAGATAATCTTCGAAGGTCAAATAAATATTCGAGCAAAGGTATTGGTTGAGAAAACTTAGGAGAGTGGAGTGGGAGAGGATTAGAGGAGATTTCAAATTCTGACTACCATTTACAGACATTTAATGTATCTTCCAACGAACATTTATTTTCTAATATCAAACTTCCCACTTTCCTCTGCCGCTTGCTTAGCTCCAACTTCCAACATACTAGTAATGATATTCGGATCAAACCATCTTAGTCATAAGGCAAGAAGAAGGAAAACATATTTGCAACATTTTTCCTGGTGACAAAGATAGGTTGACTCCGATGCTAGTTTGGTTTCGGGCAAAGGGCTAGAAGGTATTAGTGGAAAAAATTTCAGAACTTATAGAGGGGAGAGAGAAAGATTTCTATGTGCACCTATTGGTTAAAATGATATTCTGACTCTATTTATAAATCACTTCTAACATGTTTCATACAAACTAAGAAAAAATTTTAAATTTTATTAATTCTTATTTAAAATTCAACAACTTTTTAACTTTAACCCTATTTAATATACATTATACCTCATGTAAACAAAGTCAATACAATAATAAATAGAGGATAAAATTATATATTTATAAAAAAAATTTCTCTCAGTGCTCTATAAATAGGATAAAAAAATATTTTCTTTCTCTACCTTATAAATAAGACCAAAAGAATAACTTCCTATGATCATGAGTAGGTCTTTCAATTTTTCAATGCCTAGAAGCTCGTTGTGTTTGAATGCTTGACCAATATAAATGCATACATACTGGAATGTTGCGTTGGCGAAAGAGCTCTAAGAACATATCAGATTTAGATGAATGATTGACGTTACGTAATATAGGCAGGATTATTTTCCCATGCATGCGAATTATGCATTGCTGGAAGCTTGAGAAATGACTGCGACTAAATAAATGAAAATATCTTTGTGTCTAACATTAAATCTTTTTTATGTCTGGCTATATTATATACTACTTCCGGTCTTAATTATAAGACCTCGTTTATAATCTACAAATATGATCTTATGATGAGAACAGGAGGCAGTAGTATTTTATTATTTCTCACTCAAGCTACTGTCAATTACTCATATTAACTCTTTTGGCCAAAAGGAGACTCATATAACTATTCACTTTCTTGGAATGTGACCAATTTAACATCAGCCGTTCTACTAAGACTAATATTTTTTCACTCATCAAGTTCATAATAACTGGCACAGATTTTAAAATATCCAAAATACATTACAAAAGCCCTAGAATGCCCCTTATACAGAGACAAAAATGTTCAGGCCGTGGCTTCTTCCTTCGGCTTCTTCACGAGGTGGAAAAGCCCATTTGTCAATGCAGCTTTGGACGTCAAAGATGCTCCCAACAGATTCAGAGCCTAAACCAAGTGAAATAATTTAAGTCACAGTTACGTTGCGAAGAGTTAATGGAAGTGAAATTGACAAGTTTTGGTTTATCTCTTTACATATTCTTCTAAGATTACTCAATAAACAATCATTTTTTCCAGAGATCAGTTAAGGGGTAGATTTTTACCTCATTCGGACCAATTTTCACCTCATGCTGTTCCAAATCGTTCAGAGGGATATTCAATTTTTGCAGAAACGAAATGCTTGAAGCACAAGTCAATGGCGTGACTTGAAGATCATCCGTTACAGCAAAAAGTGCTGGTCTCTTCACAAATCCCACAGTAAGTCCTGTCCTTTCATCCGCACGTCTAGGGTCAACCATAGACATTTCAGATGCGTCCGTTATCTGGTGGCGCTCCTTTGAAATTACTCCATTTTTGATCGGCCAACGTATCATATTTAGGATCAGACCAGTACCATACCAGTAAGTAGGAGTTTTTTCTTCCTGGAGCATTAATGGCTGCCTTATACAACCATATTGAGAAGGCACCTTCAGATCCAGTAAAGGAGTGTATGGAGAGCTATAATTGTTACTCCAACTTGTGTACCATGTGCTCAGACCCTTGACACTATTGTAAAGATTATGCATAGATCCCAGTTTAAAATCATTGCCTCCTAAAATCTTGAGAATAGCTCCAAGAGGCATGGCGAGGAAGCTGAATAGAAAATCAGCGAAATCTCCCTGTGCTTCAGCATACAGGATTTTGTTCGTCGACTTGCTCGACGTTACCTTCAGCATTAATGAGGAATCATTCCCATGCATACCGAAAGAGGGCGGGTTAGACGCTCGTCCGAACTGTGATGGAGCTAGTATAGGTCCGAAAGAGGACACAGGGTCAGATCCACCATCTTCCCAAGTCAAGAATACATCACTGAGAGGAGATTTCGAGATCAAGGCCCGCTTCATCAAGTCCATAATCTAAAACATACACTTGTATGTATTAATCATCAAATTCAATCAAGTTACTTTGAATCCTGGTTAGAAACTTTACATACCTGGCTTAAGCCAACGTTTGGAGCGACTTCGGCGAGCTTACTGAGGTCTGTATGGCCAAGCTGGACAAGATGATGAACAGTGTTTCCAGGAAAGTTCTCAAGCACCCTTAAATCATCAAAGATCAAATACATAGTGTCCCCTCTAACAAAAACACCATCTTCTCCTTTGGGATTATTTTCCTCCCCCACCAACTTCATCTCCTTATCCATCAGTTTCCCACACGAGCAGCTTACTCCCGCAAAAGTACTCAGCAATCTCCGATTACCCCCTCCACAGGAGCCACACATCATATACTTGGTGGGCTCTGTGTCATCCACGTTAAATTTTAGTTTCTGGCAAAGCTTTTCGCACGGGTTACGCGGCCACAACAACATTTTCTTGCAGGTTCCATTCCAAAAAACCTGTTGACGCACAAATTTCGATTCATTCATAAAATCTTATTCTCTTAAAAAATGGGACATTCAATCGCACTATTTTATGCACCTGAGTGTCGAAATTTTGGACACTTTGGTAGAGGTTGTTGATGCAGCCAACCTCTGCTGATGATCGATGGGTTTGCTTGTTGGACGGAAGGCGAATGATGGTTCCCAATGGAAGCGTTAAGAAACTGAGGAGAGCGTCAATGAAATCTCCACTTGCTTCGGCCACAACCACCTTGTTTCTTTGTCTGTCTACGAAAAGTCTCAAATGAGATGATGATGATGGGCCTTGCACGGAAGCCATAGTTCAGTCACAAGCAAGAAATCTGATATGGGAAATTCTGATCTCACAAATGGAACTAATGAGCTCAGTCCAAAGGCGGTTGTGATTGATGGTGCTGGGAAAATGGAAAAAGGAGAAACGAAAGGAAGAAGCAGCTTCCTAGGGACTAGCTTTTCTGTTGTTTTTTAACAATTAAAAGGTCCCAGTCTTGTACGAACGGTTTGAAACAGTTTGCTTTAGCTCGCTTTCGATGGAAAATGCGCAGTGACATGCAGCTTGCAATAAGTGCGTTTGATTTATCCATTGACTTGACTGCAAAATTCTTCTGCGAGTCATGCGCGGGATAATCCTTCGCTTGCAAGGAACATGTTTCACCATTTGTGCAGTCGTCACGCATACCTATGACATTTTGTTTCATTAAGGAATATGATAGTTCAAATGCATATGATTAAAAAAAATAATTCTAAAAAAACTAAACATATATTTACTACAAATAACTAAATCAATTAATTTCATTAATAGCTTTAAATTAATTACTTAACTATTACACTACTTCCGGTTCTTACTATAAAAGTTTGTTTTGTCACAAAAAAAAAGGGTTTGACTTTTACTTTAGTCATTTCTAATTCACTTTGTCTCTTATATTTATCTATTTTTTCTCAACGTAAGTCTCGTAATAATAATAGCTCTAACTAATACACTTGATTAGTAATGATATTTTAAAAAAGATAACATCTATTTGTTACAAATAACTAACTAAGCTAATTTTTTTTAATATATTCAAATTAGTTAACTAGTTCTTATATTTAAAAAGGAGGTTATACTTGCTATGTTCTTTGGGCCTCACCACAGGCTTAATGATGTTTGCTTTGGAATGTTTCGTAGCCGCGCAACGCGCATTGCCCATTAGAGATCAGAGAGGCTCTTTAGAAACAGAAATGTAGCACCTCTTCTTGAGTCATATCGATATTAACTTGGAAACAACTGAACGTTCCTTACTTTTGTGGGATTCGGATGAAACATGCATGGTTCACTGGCTTGGTCTTGCCCTTCGATATTTTTATATGTGACTCTTGTAAATCAGAACAACAATGACTATAATCAAGCTCTAGGTAGTTGCTTTCCGTGTTGGTACGTTTGTAAGACAAGCAGCATGAAATGTTTGAACACAGTATGGTTCGTGTTGCCCCCAAAAGTTAGTCTAGTTGAGAATGAGTTGTTGAGTTAACTTATAACCTACAAGGTAGTGAATTCAAATTCCACTACTAATATAATGATTTTATTGATAAATAATCTGTAAATAACTCTATAAATACTGTTTAAGTCTAATGACATGTCCCGACCTAATGAGTCCTCAAAACCAAGTCACTCACTGTGATACTGTTTCAGATAAAGGGGGATCTGGATTTGTTTTTAGAAATGCACTAGGCTCCGTGGTGGACCTTTCTGGAGAGAAGGACTACATGTCCAGATTGGCCTACTAAAAAAGAAACAGAAATTGCACATTAGTGAAGAGGGAAGCTTGTGAACTTTCCAAAGCTTGATCTTGAATTACCATATTTCTCATCACATATTTCATTCATACATAAAAAGTTAGAACTGTCAATACTCATACAAAAAATCATGATGCAGGAATCAGTTCCAAATTATTTAAACACATCACGAGGGATCTGTCAAATTAAGAGACTTATTTTACCGTTCATGTGGTTCATACTTCCAAAAATGAGCCTCTGGAAAAAAAAAAAAATCCCAGTACTTAATAAAGCAACTTTTCTAGATGACAAATTAGAACTCAGAGTAAATTATACATACTTCCTTTGATTTTTGCTACAATTACACAGACTTCATTTATCCTGAAGAAAATACTTCATAGTATTGAACCTTGTTTATCATGAAGCAGAGATTCATATGACTCGGTGATGGTCTGGTTTGGAAATTTCAGAATTAGGCAAACATGATTGCACATAAGCAAAGTGACTTACCATTTAACAACTGCCACGCTGCGTGCCAGGAGAGAGCCACTTCCTTTGCAAGTCACACATCTGATTAGTCCACGAGATCCGCAAGTTGAGCAGGGAATCTTTCCCTTACCATTGCATTTAACACATCCTCATGAAAACTTAAATGTACGTGAATCACATATATAAACAGATGCCTTGATAGAAACTAGTGCATCCTCGAAATCTTAAGCTTGAATTAAAAATGAAAATTCTCAATCTTGTGCCTTGTTAAGTTCTTGCCACAGCATATGTGAACAAACTACAGTTTTACTAGACTATCCATGCCATGAATAACAAGTTGGACTTCGAGCATCAATCATCAAAGCCAAAGAACGGTATCACGGCTTCAATTAATAACTAATCTACACTTGATCAAGTGAACCACTCACACTGTATCAGATCCATCTTTATGAGCAATCAAACCCCTTCCATGACAAGCAAGGCAGTCGGTCATCTGATTTTCTTTATAATATCCGGGTTCTTGGTCTGCATTACATACAGAGCAGACAATACTACCCCGTCCTTCACAAGCTGCAAGTATTTTCCACGATTTTATAAAAACAGACAAAAAGAAAATGTTAGAAACTATATACGCTTTCAATTGTGAAAGCTGAAGAGCAAGTCCCGAATCCTAACCAGTGCATTTCTCAATAACTTCAGAATGAGGAATCTTTTCCCACACTTCTTTGAATGGCACAAACAGAACAGGAAACTGAGACCATAAATCCAATTCCCATACACCAAGTTCAGGCCCACTATGCTTTCCATCTATGCTGCCACCAGTGTATGGCTCAGACTCTTTTATGGTCTCTCTTTCCTCAGTAAAAGTATCTAAAGTGCCCACATAAACATTGCAGTCTTCCACAGCATGAATTTTCCATGTTCGAGCAGGACGGCTACCCCAACAATAGCAGTGACCAACATAATCAATGAGCAATCCTCGGATCTCTACTTCATCCAAGACTCCCCTAAAATTAGATAATTTATTTTAACAAGATTGTGTGTCAACAATGAAATGTTATGCGAAAACAGCCATAGATATTATGATGATTTACCAATAAATATATATATAGTATACACAGCTTTGATAAGAAAAACATTCTAGCAATCCAGTGATCCCAAGACATGATTAAACAGTGAAATCCACTAATGTCTTTCTCACAAAAGTCAAACCCGTTTGGGTATTTTATTATATTCTATCTTAACGATAAACAATGGCTCCATTTATAAGTTGCCTCAACCTCTAAAATTATAATATTTTTACACAATTTACTAAACCTAAGCAGACTTGTTCCTCCACGCTGTATACATGACAAATTATCACTTACTCGTGATTCTATGAATGGTGCATAATATGAAAGTACATATAGCCAAACCAAAATAATTGATTTCACAATTTCAAGCGGCCAAGATAATTTGGTTCTTTGGAGACCAGCATCTAACTGAATCTATCAAACCAAGTGTCAGTCTACCCCTTATTTCCTGATATCAATCTAGCCAACTTATCTAGATATCAATGAGTTTATTATGGAACCCATTTAACCCTTTTATGATTTTATCACAATTCAAAAACACAAAACCCCATCTATACTTCTTTTAGCCTTGAGTTAAACCACTCAAAAACACAAAACCCGATCAAATCTTGGTCTGCAGTATAGCTTCTGCAACGCAAAATAACAGCAACACTTTTTTCTTTGTTTTTTTTTTTAAAAATAAATGAACTCTGCAGTGTTTGGACATCTTTCTGCGTCACGGCTGGAAATAATGATCACAAAGAATATTCCTTGACAATGCATTCCATTTACTGAGATGATGTTGATTGGATTGGATTACCACTGAAAAATCAACATCCGAACTATACTGCTTCAAGGGTTAAACATTAGTGCGTTTCAACAACAATTTGTAAAGAAGCATTTTACTGACCCATGATTTACACCATATGATTTTAATTTCGGCAGTTGTAGAGAAATCAAGAATACAACCAAGACTTCAATTATTTTTTGGGAGCAAATGCACAAAATTATAAAGCTTGATATACAAACTAAACTTACCAGGAACACTAATGGATGGGGGGAAATTTTTACAGTTCCCATATCAGTCATAACTCTGGTATTCGGCCCTTGTTCCACCGTAATCTCCTGCATATCCTCCTTGGGGAACAATAGCTTGCTCTGCAACGTAGCGCTGTATTTAGCATTCAGGCTTATAAATGCCAATAGAATTCTTAAATAAACTTAAAGCAAGAAAACTGAAAAAGTTGTCCATCTTTGCCCTATAATTACAGAAGATCTTGGGAAAGAAAAATAAACGTTCACATGTTTCTATCTATATCTATCTATATAACCCATAAATCTTGCAGAGGTTTTGTGATTGGTCCATGTGGCAGTCTTAGGAGGTGGTTTTTTTTTTATCTAATTGGCTGTTGATTGTTGATGTGGATGGTTATTAAATTAAGATGAAGTGGCTGATTAAAATGTCTTGGTATGGATATATGGAAGGGTCGGTGGCACCTGCATAGATATATATTCTTGGAACTTAAGGCCTTCTTTGGCAAAAAAAAAACATCTTGGAAAATGAGGAGGCCTTGAATCACTTGTCGAATAATTCAAAGAATTAACATAATTACTTGCACTCTTTTCAGTATTTTTAAAGGTGAAGAGACTATGAATTACTATCTAGAGTAATGAAAATGAAAAGGCTTTAAACCACTTTGTGGAACAATTTAGATAACTCTGAAAATCATTAACTCATCCTCTCTTGGTCATCGTGTCTTTCTCTTTTTAATGCAGGAGATTCATCCCATCTCTTCTCTTATGAAAGCTCAATCATTTTCCCATTACGACATTTGTTTCCTGTGGAGTTGCATTTGGCATTCTTATTTCCATTATATAAAGACCATTCTACCAACCTCATTTCCCCCTCAGCGCATTCCAGTTCTCCACTTTGGTTTTCTCAGAACCGATCTATTCATTAATATGGTATTATATGTTTTCAATTTTCCCTCAATTTGATCGTCTCACTTCTAAGCATAATCATGTCCACAAAGTTTTCACTTCTTGATTTATCTTCCGTTTTTTTTTTTTTTTAGATTTGGAGATCGGTTCTCACCAGTGGCACCATCACGATCATCGTAGTCTATCTATGATCTACAGCTCTCAAAAAGTCCTCAACTGAACAATCATTATGCAAGTAAGCTTACCATACCTCTCTTAAAGTGTCAAGCCCTGACTACGGTAAATGTATTGTCTCAGAAAGGGACTGTCAGAGGTTTTCTTATCACTGAGACCTAAATGTTTGAATTCGCTGGATGGTGGAGATACTTATGAAAACTTAAGGCACTATTGATTAGTTCTTAAATTTTCTGGACATTATTAGCAATGAGAAAGATGGAATATGATTATTTATTAAATTTGCCACCAAGTATTTGTTACATTTATTGAAGAATATTCCCACGTAAACAATTGTATGTGGCACTATTAAGGGTAAAAAACTATTGAGGGCTTGAAAGTACTGGTACTAGACAGAAAAAACAAAAAGCTAACAAACCGAACAATAAATGTTGTCTACAGTCAAGTTTCTTCAGTTGTCATTTTGACTTGACACACAAACACTAATAGTTAATTCTCCTAATGTAAAAAGTCTTAATAATTAGTTCTTCTAATGAAAAAAAATCTTGCTTCAATAACCCCTGCTTTTGGTACGGCATCTAGTTTAAGGGAAAAAAGCCGTGAATCAGTACATTCATGAAATAGATTGGCACCAGACACCCGTATATGACATGAATGTGATGAAACTTCAGATTAACGGGATCTTGTTATGTCAGTATGTGCTACTTAGGACGTTAACCTCATAAAACTAAACGCAATTGAAATGAACATTGGAAGTAACAGTAACAAGATCACCCACGTGGAGGATATGGCTCAGGCGAGCTGACCAAAGCGCCATGAATGGAGGGCGGATAGTAATTGGAAGAAGCAGCGGCAGCAGAGCGAATTTCATCGACACTCACCTCAGTGCCGGCCAATGATGAAGCAGTAGGAATCACAGAACCCGTTCTTCCCGCATACTGATACGCGCTCCACTTTCCGCTCTCTCTGTCGGACGATTGACTTCTTGTTTCTGTCAAATCCGATCACAACCAAAAGAACCCAAAATGAAGAACACGAGAAACATTGAAAATCATCAATTAAAATTGAAACTTGCCGGCGTTAATTTTATACCCGATAACAGAGGCTGCTCCATATTGATAATGATCAGCTCTGCGAGAAATTAGACACAGCGATTATTGGGTACGAAACATTTTTATCTAAGGTATTTGCCTTTGCCACTAAGGAAGTTGAATTGCCGATAAGTCAAATAGAGATATATAATCTGCCCTGCCTCCTGCAACCGAACGGTCTAAACCAAACCAAATATTAACATGTAAGGAGGAGTGGGGTCCGCGATATTAAAAACGCGGGTTCTTGTCCTTAGCTAAAACGAAGAAACCGAAAACCGCACAAGGCTGGAGAACCGCTGAAGAACTATAGGTTGCAAGAGGGACCTGTTGATCAGAACCTGAAAGTGTATGACCTCATAGTTGAGAGAGGAGAATGGAACCTGCAAGCATTGGAAGAAAAATTCCAGGGGAAATAATTGACAGAATTAGACAGCTACAACCTCCGCAAAAGAAGGATGGCGAAGATATTGTAAGATAGAAATGGACTAAAGAGGGAGACCTTACCACTGCCTCTGGATATAAGTGGCTACAGCAAAGCGATGGAAGTCAGTATTAGAAGTTGTGGCAGAAAATGTGGAAATTACAAGTACCTGAAAGAGTCAAACTTTTCATGTGGCAGACAAAACACAAGAGACTTCCAGCGAAGCAAGTAACTAGTCGATGGGATGGAGGACAAGGTTACTGTACTGTTTGTAATCTGGAGGGGTAATCTCATGTACATGTGTTGCGAGATTGTCGAGTTGCTAAGAATCTGTGGAAAAGACCAGTGGCTTGGGAGAGACAAGAAGAATTTTTTGCTTGTGGATCGGACGTTTGGTTGGATCAGAATCTGACTAGGACCGGGAACAGATATATAGGCCGGAGTTATTTGCGACTGGCTGCTGGCATCTCTGGAAATAGTGATGTAGATTGGAGAATGCCGTGGAATATATTTGCAGTGGAGGATTAATTCAGGGGAATCAATTACAGTCGAGATTGCAGGTGCTGTTTACTCATATCTGCAGAGAGAGTAATAGGTGTGCTGATAAGCTTAGTTTCAATGAGTAGACAAATGAATATGTGGATTTATAACAAATTTGTGCAGATTTGAAGGAGAGCTTTAAACACCTCTAGATAATCTTCGAAGGTCAAATAAATGTTCGAGCAAAGGTATTGGTTGAGAAAACTTAAGGAGAGTGGAGTGGGAGAGGATTAGAGGAGATTTCAAATTCTGACTACCATTTACAGTCATTTAATGTATCTTCCAACGAACATTTATTTTCTAATATCAAACTTCCCACTTTCCTCTGCCGCTTGCTTAGCTCCAAGCTTCCAACATACTAGTAATGATATTCGGATCAAACCATCTTAGTCATAAGGCAAGAAGAAGGAAAACATATTTGCAACATTTTTCCTGGTGACAAAGATAGGTTGACTTATGATTAGGGGAAAAAAGATAGGTTGACTCCGACGCTAGTTTGGTTTCGGGCAAAGGGAGTAGAAGGTATTAGTGGTAAAAATTTCAGAATTTCTAGAGGGGAGAGAGAAAGATTTCTATGTGCATCTATTGGTTAAAATGATATTCTGACTCTATTTATAAATCACTTCTAACTTGTTTTTCACAAACTAAGAAAAATCTTAAATTTCATTAATTCTTATTTAAAATTCAACAGCTTTTCAACTTTAACCCTATTTAATATACTAGTAATGATATTCGGATCAAACCATCTTAGTCATAAGGCAAGAAGAAGGAAAACATATTTGCAACATTTTTCCTGGTGACAAAGATAGGTTGACTTATGATTAGGGGAAAAAAGATAGGTTGACTCCGACGCTAGTTTGGTTTCGGGCAAAGGGAGTAGAAGGTATTAGTGGTAAAAATTTCAGAATTTCTAGAGGGGAGAGAGAAAGATTTCTATGTGCATCTATTGGTTAAAATGATATTCTGACTCTATTTATAAATCACTTCTAACTTGTTTTTCACAAACTAAGAAAAATTTTAAATTTCATTAATTCTTATTTAAAATTCAACAGCTTTTCAACTTTAACCCTATTTAATATACATTATATTTCATGTAAACAAAGTCAATACTACCTCCAGTCCTAATTATAAGAGCCATTTGACTAATTTGAGAATATTAAGAAAGTAAGTTGAGTTAGTTATTTGTTCTAAATAGGTGTTGTCTTTCCTAAAATATCCTTGCTAATCAAGTGTATTGACTAGAACTATCATTGTTAGAAGGGCTACTTTGAAAAAAAATGTATAAATATAAGAAACAAAGTAAATTGGGGTCTTATATTTATGATCAAAATAAAAGTCAAACAGGATCTTATATTAAAAACCAGAGGTAGTATAATAATAAATAGAGGATAAAATTATATATCTATACAAAAAATTTCTCTCAGTACTCTATAAATAGGACCAAAAAATATTTTCTTTCTCTACCCAGTAAATAAGGTCAAAAGAATAACTCCCTGTGATCATGAGTCGGTCTTTCAATTTTTCAATGCCTAGAAGCTCGTTGTGTTTGAATGCTTGACCAATATAAATGCACACATACTGGAATGTTGCGTTGGCGAAAGAGCTCTAAGAAGATATCAGATTTAGATGAAATATAGGCAGGATTATTTTCCCATGCATGCGTATTATGCATTGCTGGAAGCTTGAGAAATGACTTCGACTAAATAAATGAAAATATTTCAGTGTCTATTATTAAATCTTTTTTATGTTTAGCCATATTATATACTACTTCCGGTCTTAATTATAAAACCTCGTTTTTAATCTACAAACAAAATCTTATGATTAGCACAGGAGGCAGTAGTATTTTATTATTTCTCACTCAACCTACTGTCAATTACTCATTAACTCTTTTGGCCAAAACGAGACTCACATAACTACTCACTTTCTTGGAATGTGACCAATTTAACATCAGCTGTTCTACTGAGACTAATATTTTTTCACTCATCAAGTTCATAATAACTGGCACAGATTTTAAATATTCAAAATACATTACAAACGCCCTAGAATGCCCCTTATACAGAGACAAAAATGTTCAGGCCGTGGCTTCTTCCTTCGGCTTCTTCAGGAGGTGGAAAAGCCCATTTGTCAATGCAGCTTTGGATGTCAAAGATGCTCCCAACAGATTCAGAGCCTAAACCAAGTGAAATAATTCAAGTCACAGTTACATCTTCAAGAGTTAATGGAAGTGAAATTGATAAGTTTTGCTTTATCTCTGTACATGTTCTTCTAAGATTACTCAATAAACAATCATTTTTTCCAGAGATCAGTTAAGGGGTAGATTTTTACCTCATTCGGACCAATTTTCACCTCATGCTGCTCCAAATCATTCAGAGGGGTATTCAATTTTTGCAGAAACGAAATGCTTGAAGCACAAGTCAATGGCGTGACTTGAAGATCATCCGTTACAGCAAAAAGTGCTGGTCTCTTCACAAATCCCACAGTAAGTCCTGTCCTTTCATCCGCACATCTAGGGTCAACCATAGATATTTCAGATGCGTCCGCTATCTGGTGGCGCTCCTTTGAAATTACCCCATTTTTGTTCGCATAACACATCATATTTCGGATCACACCAGTACCATACCAGTAAGTAGGAGTTTTTTCTTCCTGGAGCATTAATGGCTGCCTTATACAACCATATTGAGGAGCCACCTTCAGATCCAGTAAAGGAGTGTATGGAGAGCTATAATTGTTACTCCAACTTGTGTACCATGTGCTCAGACCCTTGACACTATTGTAAAGATTATGCATAGATCCCAGTTTAAAATCATTGCCTCCTAAAATCTTGAGAATAGCCCCAAGAGGCATGGCGAGGAAGCTGAATAGAAAATCAGCGAAATCTCCCTCTGCTTCAGCATAGAGGATTTTGTTCCTCGACTTGCTCGACGTTACCTTCAGCATTAATGAGGAATCATTCCCATGCACACCGAAAAAGGACATGGTGGGGTTAGATGCCCGTCCGAACTGTGATGGAGCTAGTATCGGTCTGAAAGAGGACACAGGGTCAGATCCACCATCTTCCCAAGTCAAGAATACGTCACTGAGAGGAGATTTCGAGATCAAGGCCCGCTTCATCAAGTCCATAATCTAAAACATACACTTGTATGTATTAATCATCAAATTCAATCAAGTTACTTTGAAGCCTGGTTAACTTTACATACCTGGTTTAAGCCAACGTTTGGGGCGACTTCGGTGAGCTTAGTGAGGTCTGTATGGCCACGTTGGACAAGATAATGAACAGTGTTTCCTGGAAAGTTCTCAAGAACCCTTAAATCATCAAAGATCAAATACATAGTGTCCCCTCTAACAAAAACACCATCTTCTCCTTTGGAATTATTTTCCTCCCCCTCCAACTTCATCTCCTTGTCCATCAGTTTCCCACATGAGCAGCTTACTCCCGCAAAAGTACTCAGCAGTGTCCGGTTACCCCCTCCACAGGAGCCACACATCATATACTTGGTGGGCTCTGTGTCATCCACGTTAAATTTTAGTTTCTGGCAAAGCTTTTCGCACGGGTTACGCGGCCACAACAACATTTTCTTGCAGGTTCCATTCCAAAAAACCTGTTCACGCACAAATTTCGATTCATTCATAGAATTTTGTTCTCTTAAAAAATGGGACATTCAATCGCAATATTTTACGCACCTGAGTGTCGAAATTTTGGACACTTTGGTAGAGGTTGTTAATGCAGCCCACCTCTATTGGTTGTTGCTTTTGCTTGTTGGAAAGAAGCCGAATGATGGTTCCCAAGGGAAGGGTTAAGAAACTGAGGAGAGCGTTCACGAAATCTCCACTTGCTTCGGCCACAACCACTCTGTTTCTTTCTCTGTCCACGAGAAGTCTCAAAGGAGATGATGGGTCTTGCATGGAAGCCATAGTTCAGTGACAAGCGTGAAATCAGATATAGGAAGTTCTGATTTCTCACAAAGGATTTTGCTTTGACGATGCAATTAGCTAGCTGTACCCAAAGGCATTGTGATTAATAGTGCTGGGAAAATGTCAAGAGAAAAAGGAAATGACGAAGCAGCTTCGTGGAGACAAGTTTTTCTGGCGTTTTGCCATGGGGGAGATAAGTTAAAAGACTCAGGTCTGGTACGAATTTGTGAAACAGTGAGCTTCATCAGCTTCATGCTTGTGAGAACTGAGAAGTGACATGAAGGCGCGCGGGATGATCCTTCATTTCTAAGGAACTTGGTTTTTGTCCTTTTCTTACGCATCATCTGCCCAAAACATAGCCGAAAAATGCATGCAAAATTACAAATTATTCTTTCTTTTTACCTTCATTCATCCCTCGGCAGACAAAAAAATGTTGGGTACGAAATTTATTTTCTATTAATTATATTTTCTCTATATCTTTTAAGTATATTGC